TATTTCCTGTTTAGGGAACTTTTTATAAACATTTCTGTCTGTATATTGTTGTTTTGATCATTTTTAATCATCATACAGACTTAATATGCTTCTTTTTAGACAAATTTAGTCATTTTTTGTCCCTGACACTTGGCCATTGTTCTATTAGACACAAGATTTAGACCTACCGTGTATATTTTTAAAGTTTTCTCACACCTTTTAAAGTCAAGAAAGCATCGCAACCCCCCGATGAAGCTTTAGGCGACCCCTAGTGGGCGGTAACCATGGTAACCACGGTTTGCTAAAGTCTGTGTCCAGTCTCGATAGATTTATGGTTTATTTAATTAAAACCAACACCTGTTTTCTGAAGAAGCTTCACCAATAGATTTGTTTTGAAGGAAGTTACTAACATATTGTTGGACTTAACAGCCGAGTCCGAGTGCGAATACCAACGAGTCCGAGACAATAGAAGGAAAAAAAAACCCATCATGTGTCTGAGACTCTGTGGATGTCAAAGTATGATCGACGATTACAACACAGCCAACTGTGCAGCACTGTTGAGCAACTGTCATCGGAGGTCACATGCTCGGGGGGGAAAACAATGAGCTTATGTCTCTGCGTATACAAGAGCAGTCAGGTCTCACATATATCTACGTAATGAACATACAGTGACTCTGTTAAACCTGTGGGGAGACACATGGTGGTTATTATCAGGAAAAACAGCAATAAAACTTAAGTCTAATGATGTTGCATCTGTTTTGTGTCCTCTATACCTTTCACATTTGTTAAAAAATAAAGATTTAAACGTTTTATATGTGTGTATATTCATATATATTCTTGTTTTCCACCTCCAGGACACCCATCGTCTATATAAACAGAAACTCGAGGAAGTGACCAAACTGCAAGACAGCTGCTCTGGCGCAATATCACGTCAGAGGAAGAAGCTGAAAGAGCTCACTGTGTCACTGAAAGAGTGAGTATTGATCAGTGACCCTGACTAAATGACATATTTTATGGATATTTCATATTATATTCAATCTCTAACAAACTCTACAGCAGTAGAGAACAACTGACAAACTGCAGGAAGATTTTGTGTGCAGATTATTTCCTGTTAATATTGATCAGAGATGAGTTTTTCTGATATTTTTAGGAACTTTTTGTACAGTTCTCTCTCTATATTTTTTATCA